GAGTCGCCTGTCATAGCACATGAAGCGGATGGTCCTGACTTTGTAAACGGGTAAAGAGATGAATGAGGCTGGTCTCTAACTGACCCCCAAATTAGATAAATGCCAGAATCACCAGCACAGGGACCAAATAACCTAGATCATTAGATTTGCTTGTGTAGAAGTCACTTAATAGTTTTACAAATCACTCGCATTTATACTACCTTATTTGATGTTCACAACAGTGAGATCTTTAAAAAAAAGTGCCATTTAGAGCTGCAGACTACTGTCCCTTCTAATTTGCCTCTGTCTTCACATATATATCATACACTACAGAGTACAGAGACAAGGAAAGTTGGATATGGGCTTGTCTTTTGGAATCCAAATCAAAGAGGTAAACACATAGCACACCTGAGAAAATAAGCATTTTGAAGACAGCATTCTCCAGAGGCAGGGGCCTGCTTACTGTCTGACGAGGCCCACTTGGCTGTGGACATTTTCATGCAGAACTGAGATCAGGGCTAACTAACCTAGGTTTCTGGGATCATATCTGGAGAGTGGTGTACTTCTGAATTGCATTAAGATGATAGAAGATTAGGTGAGAGTGCCGTAATCTGCACTCGGGACTGGCAGGTCTGTGTGGGTGCTGTAACCCCAGCCCCACGTCCCCAGGAGAGGAGTGCAGCACGGTGCAGCCCACAGTAAAGGTCATGTCTTAGCCACATACGCGCTGCCACCGGAGAGTGTTCTCTCCCTCCACACAAAGTCTAGCGGTGCCTGCGATGTGAATATGTCTTCTCTAGCCCATTTAACCTGTCTCTTGAAGACTGTACATTGCAATGTTATGGGCTGAGTTGTGCCCCCCCCCCAAATTTACATGTTAAAGGTCCCCCATCCATACTTTACAATGTAACTGTATTTAGAAATTGGGTTTTAAAGAGGTAATTAAATTAAAATGAGTTAGGGTGGTGTCCTTAAAGGAGAGGAACAAGGGGTATCAGAGGAATGGCCACATAAAGAGGCAACCAGAGGGCGTCCATCCACCAGCCAAGGAGACAGACTTCAGGAGAAACCAGCCCTGCTGGCGCATGCACTTGGATTTCCAGCCTCCAGAGCTATGAAAAAATAAACTCCTGTTGTTTAAGCCATCGAGTCTACGGTATTTTCTTATGGTAGTCCCAGCTAACTAATGTAATAATTAGTTCCAAACACATCACCTGCACAAAACGGACTACTCTGCAATTTAAAAAAAGCATCACTTGGGGTTTTGAGCTCTCAAACACATTCATCCACAGACCCTTAGTCTTACAACACCCTGCCCCTTCTTTCCTCTGGCTTTGAACGTGGCTTGTTAGTCATCCTTTATACCAGTGATTTTCAACCGATGTGCCGCAAGAATTTTTAAAACATGCAATATTTGACTATTTAATTGGGGGCACTGACCTCTTTTCCTTTAGATTGTCAAATATATAAATGATGAAAACCCAACAATAGCTGTCCAGTATGAATGAATCAAAATTATACCTATTTTTTGACAGACCTGCAAAAGATGTATATATTTTTTGGTGTGTCACAGAATTTCATTACTTAGTTATGTGTGCCATGAGAAAAAAGGTTGAAAATCCCTGCCTTATACCATGGGTTCTTATGATTGGTAGGGACCTAGCAGCTTTAGACCCTGAGCTTTCCCACGAAAAGCCACACCCTGTCATCAGATCTTCTACGTGCCACAGTGCAGAACATGCCTATCAACTTCTTCGCTGTGGTTTCCACTGATAAAACCACCCCTCTTTGTTATTTAAACTTTGATACACAGCACATTCCCAGAAGTTTCTTGAACTGGTTTTGGAGAGCTTTAGGAAATTCGTCTTACCCCGCTCGCAGTACTATATGGTTAAATTGGGCATTAAAATCTATCCTTGCGACTGCTTAGATCTGGTTTCTGAAATTACATTGTAGTTTCCAGTTTCTTCTTCTTAAGGCAGCAGTGATAACCAGCCACCGAGGTAAGGCTCTATTGTCACCCTGCCTGAATCCTTCTTCACCTACTTCTGTTTTCCACGCTGCTCTTCTGTTTTCTCCTTGAGAACTGTCGCTTGTTTGTATCTGGATCCTTACTTCTCAGTCTCTGCATATACACATCCCAGAAAAGAATGCAAGAATGACACTTTGCAAAATATGTTGATAATAGCTTTGATTATGTAAAACCTCGGTGGGCTATGTATTTATTGCCCTGGAGGGGCTACCTGCCTGTTTTCTTGGCTCAGTCACACTGCTCCCTGACCTGAGCACCTATGCCTTTCTCTCCACCATGCTGAGAGGACTGGAGGCTCGCTGTAAACCTCTCATGGGAAGAGCCCTTTCCAAATGGTGCCTGAGCTGAACTCCCAGCAGCAGGGTGCTATTGACAATATGTAATAACAAGTAAGGCACAGGCAGAGAGCAATCAATATGGACGTCTAATGTTATGTAGCAATAATGAGTCATCTTCAAAACGTCTGTAAGAAAGGCCCAAAGGAACATTGAAGTTCATCAGTGATCTTCTGTAGGACCAAGCTTTGCTAGGGGCAAAATGCCATGATACTTGCTTGTCACTTGAGAGGCACAGAATCACATGAGCGGAATGACAGCTCCCCTGTCCCTCACTGGACTGCCATCCTTTGTGGTCGTCCTGACGTTGTGGCCATTATTTGTCCATCACAGACATGTAGCTTCCTGAGGCAGCGAGAAACCTGGGTCTTGTTCCTCCCTATTTATACAAATGAACCTGATTGTACTGAGACGCAGGGTTGGTTAACTAGGTCCCCACCCATTCAGTCACTCATTCCACTGAAGTTAGTGGAATTCCAAATACAGACCAGGCACTAAACTCATTTAAAAATTTAGTAAATGAATAAAATGAATAGGTATGTGGATGAATGACTAAAGCCACTTTGTTCACAAATTCTCCTTGTAGTGCAAGTCCCAAGTATACTCAAAATACAAAGCCTTAACACCGAGCACAGAATGGGCAGGGAACCTTTTGTTTGCAGGAAGTAGGAGACCAAAGTAGAGACACTTACATTCAAGGTATCACTAATAAGACTGTCACTACTTGGGAGGAAGAAAAGGAAACAAAAACAACATGTTACTAATCCAAAATGGTGGCAACATGTAAGGCTTCCTAGCTCTATCATAAATATTTCTACATACTCGTGTTTTCAAATCAATAATGGTTAGAAATCTACAGGTTTGTTATGATTTACCACAACCTTAGAGAGGCTTATGTCACAATGATTCCACTTTACGTATTAAAATTTGATCACTTCATAATTTATGTTATTTCTCAGGTCTTCAGTTGCAGCCAGGGTGAAATATCAAATTATTTTTCAAAATAGATAAATAAGCCCTGGCTGGTATAGCTCAGTGGATTGAGTGCCAGCCTGTGAACCAAAGCGTGGCCGGTTCAATTCCCAGGAAGGGCATATGCCTGGGTTGCAGGCCAGGTCCCCAGTGGGGGCCATGTGAGAAGAAACCACACATTGATGTTTCTCTCCCTCTCTTTCTCTCTTCCTTACCCTCTCTCTAAAAATGAATAAATAAAATCTTTAAAATTTTTTTAAATTAAAATAAATAAAAGCATCAAAAATCTATTGCATTATATATTTTTGTTTAAAAATTGCTGCAGTGTGTTTACTGATTGGAATGGGTCATATACATAATCCTATATAATATATAATTTTAGATAATCCTTTCATGCATGGCTCTGATAGTCTACAACTTTATTTGTTAGAGTGTTTTAGGAGATATATCAATTCCCTTGCTCCAGGGATTCTTTCCAATTACCTTATTCAATATCCAGAAAGTATTTAATCTTTGTATCCCAATCATTAAAATGTTTACTTTCCCCCCCAAAAAAAGAGAAACAACTGTCAAAGTCACATCTTCACAGTTAATTATAACGGGGCCTCTCTCAAGGTCTTTTCCTGTATGAAGTACTTAGTCAAACAGAATTATTTCTTCTTGAGCATTGTTTAATCAGGGTTGTAGTTTTTCTAAGACTTTTTTAAACACTGGAATGTTTTGGAAATACAATCTCCTTTATTAATGTAAGAGCCTTGCCCGTAAACTTGAGTTAATTCTGTTGAGTCAGGACTTACTGATAGATTCCTGAATTTACTCAGAGCTTTAAATGTTTTGTTCCAAGTGCCCTTTGCCCCCAAGAAATCAAGGAGTGCATTTAATGGAGTTGTCACTGTAATATTTAATAAGGAACCTTGTATAAGTTTTTAGAAACTTTCCATTTGAAGGTGTTTTTTTGCTCCTAAATAATACAGAGCCTATCAATATACAAACGGGCTGAGAAGGCAGGATGGCAGTTTGATTATGCTTACTCTGCATCCCCAGGACATGGGCAAATGGAATTTAAGAAGCTGGTAGTTCAGAGAGAAGAGAAGTCTTCGAGTCCACTGCTTTTACTATGTGCACAGTTGAAATGAACTGTTAAATGAGCTTTGAGTGTAGCTAAATGTGAATTTAAAAAATTAGAATCTTGGTTAACACAAGCGTGTCCGTTGTTTTGCCACAAAACCACAGGGGCAGCATCGGGGAGGAGTCGCAGTGATGGTGACAACAGCTCTCACGATTTTTCATGTTTAATATGTTTTGTAAATCCTTCCAGACAGTGAGCTTTCATTCAAGGCCTGTCTACATGTAAACTGAACTTTTGATGGGTTATTTTTGTCTGCCTTCTCTGTAATTATATATTTGCATGCCTAGCTCCTCCAATTAGAAAGGAAATGAAGTAAGAATGGAAAGAGTTTTTTATTTATGTCTCATGCTGTGCATAGTGCTTTAGACGTAATGGACAATGAACAGTTTTCTCAGAAGCAGTTACTTCATATATTGTTCTGAAAATAATAGATCTACATTTATTCTTCTTGCCAATGCATAAAAAGAAGACAAGGAAACAGAGGACAAGGGGAGATCAGGTGAGGAGGAAGAAGAAGGGGAAAAAAGAGGAGACTAACAGTGACTGGACTATCATAATTAAAACAATGACTTTCCATTGAAATTTATTTGGATCATTGCTCACACATCATAGGGTGCTTGACTTGGCATAATTTAGTGTTCCTTAAGTCCTAATAGTTAAGTCACTATCATGTTCTAGGGAATCCTGAGAATTTTTCCAAGGATGCTTTTCAAAGATCACAAAGTTAGACACTGCAAATATTTTCACACCTTCTCCATGTTTTAAATTGAATGTGCAGGTGAATATTTCTAACACTGGTCTTTGTAAACCAAATTAATATTTGACAAATATTTTTTTCCATAAGTGGCCAGTAAAGTTGCAAATTGATTTGACAACTGGGTTATTTTTTTTACTGAATTAAGTTAATAATTCAGTGTTTTGTAACTGAGTAACAAACTCACAAATATCTGTGCAAAGACGGTCCAAAGAGCAGTGTGAGCTTTATCAGGTTTGGTCCTCAGCCAAAATTTTAATTAGTGAGGTTTGTTCTTGGTATCTCTCCCTATCAATTGTTGCACCTTGTACTCACTTTAAGTTTTGCCCTTTTCTCAAAACACTCTGTCTCCAAGTCAGTGACACATTCTTGGTACTTTTCACGACTCCCTTCACCTATAAAAATATCCCATGTCCCTTCGCTAACACTGGTTTAACGAATGTGATTATTTGGGCTCTGGGGCAGAAAGCCTGTTGACGATTTAAAGTGTGATCCTTCCCAGCGGCCACTTTTATTGTTAACAGTGGCTTTCAGTGTTTGGTACCTGGGATGACTGACTGTCTCAGTGTGCCTGGGACTTTCCTGGTTTCAGCAACGAAATTTCCAAGTCTCAGGAAACCCCTAAGTCCAGGCAAATTGGGAAATGTTGCTTACCCTAATTGCACTGAAGAAACTCTAAAAAATGACAATCTGGGAAGGCTTGTTCAGCTTCCCTCTCAAATTGCAGTTCCCAGTTGGAGATTTTTCTGCCTCTTCTCTCACATCCCTGTTCTGGATAACTCACGCAGCCCTCCGAGGCCAGGGCACCCTGTCTGTGTTCCCCGCCCACCACAGCCTGCAGGACAAATTCCCTAGATTTGCTCCGTGTGCTTGTTGGGTGATCTAGGCCGTCCATTATTTAGTTTTCTCCCCAACAGACGATAATCCCGGTCATCTCATTGTTCACTAGAACATAAACAAATTAATAATTTGTTTATGTTCGGATTTATGTCAGAGCCCTCACCCAGGGCACCCAGGCTGTTCTTAGACTGTCTTTATCGGCAGCACTGAGATTCCATAGTGACAACAAAGAAAACCCAAGGGAAATTATCTACAAGCATGTATTATCTACACCAATAGTTTTCATTACTTCTAGGAAGCGAAGTTTGATGACATATCTTGCCTGAGGTAAAAGGACAGCGATGCGAGTCGCAGCTCTCTAGGTGTGCCATCTCCCACAGTTCTGCTCATTCTGTGGGGCTGGGAGGCCTATCCTTTCTCAGGAATCTGTGATTTGCCTGTGATGGAAAAGGAAGTCAAACTTAAAAAGGCTCATTGCAGGATTGCCCAAAAGGCATCTAAACAAAGTAGTTGATTTGGGTAAATAAAAGGAAACAAAACTTGACCAAATCATTTTTGTTATGGGCTGAATTATGCTCCCCTCGCCCTGGCTGGCATATTTTAGTCTCGGCCCCAGGTACTAGGAATGCCACTGTCTTTGGAGACAGCGTCTTTCAAGAGGTAACGAAGCTCAAATGAGGTCAGGAGAATGGGCCTTAATCCAGTCGCTGGTGTCTCTCAGGGGAGACGAAACTGGGACAGAGATTCACACACAGAGGCAAAACCATGTGAAGACACAGGAGACGGTAACAAGCTACAAGCCAGGAGTGAGGCCTGGGACAAATCCCTCCTTTGTGGCCCTCAGGAGAAACCAACCGTGGCAAGACTTTGACCTTGGGCTTGCAAGAAAATGAATTTCTGTTGGTTGAGCCACCCAGTCTGTGGTGCTCTGCTGTGGCAGCCCTAGCAAACTAATGCACTTTTCTAGTAGATAAACACAGAATGCACTAAGTGGTTAACAGAGAGCTCCCTTTAAGGACAGAGTTGCAACCTTGCTCAGAGGGGGAACCCAGAACAGGTGGCTTCACTCCTCGCAGTTGGGTGGCCGCGCTCACATCAGAACTTGGACTCTTTTCCCTAAGCACACAGTCATCTCCTCAGCAACCAAAATGGGGAAAACTAATACAAATACGAAGGTTCTCTGAGAGTGTGAAAGGAGGAATTAGGATTTTTTTTTTCCTGAACTATCAGTGAAACCTCTCAAAAATAGCTTTAGGAATGTAACATCAAGTGCTCTCTCATCTTCTCACAAATACCTTTGATCACTAATCTTTCATTTTGCTGCAACCCACAGCATTCCCCTCAACCCTGAGCATGCAACAATATGATATTCTCTCCAGAGGGGCATTTCTCCACAGAGTAAATGGTGAATGTGACTGAGCATGCAATAAACACAAACTGTGTTTTCAGAAAGAAAGTTAATGTGTTCTTTAAAAAAATGGGCAGGGTGAATTGTGCATGTGAATTATTTCTTAATAAAGCATATGTATACAAAGCAAACACACACGCCATCTTTCTATGTCCCTTTCATTTTGCCGTACTTTTCCCTTAGAATCATCTAAAGGACCACTGATTAGAATCATCTAATTCACTTAGCTCACATTGCTGTTTCACTTTCCCCTTGGACAGTATTTAGAGGCTATTACTAATTCTAAAGGGGAGATAAAAGTCTCCAATGAAAAGTCACATAGCTGAGATAGATGGAAATACCACTGACCTTAGACTTGCTTTTGTCATTTCATTCAGAGAAGGTCCATAGAGGTTCCCGGGCTGTTTTTCACTGGCAGGTCAGCCACGGGAGCCTAACTACAGTTTTCTCAGCCAGTCACTCTGGAGCCTCCTCCCCTAGCCGGTCTCCCAGCTTCTCCCTGGCAGCAGGCGGGGTGCATCTATCAGGTTATATATAGGTCCTGCTGCAGAGTGAGCAGTTAAAGGGGATCTGACCCTGGTCTCTGTGCCGGGTGAACCCGTAGTCTTGATGGGGTTTTAAATGGCTCTGTCATGTCACCAACAATTTATCGATGGTCTGTGGAGGGTAGATACTGCTGGTGAAGTCTCATTTACTTAGCGTTTGATTTACTGCAGAAGTTTACAGAAGCAGGCCCATTGCCCAGTCTCACAAGGACTTATATGACTAGCTTCTTCAATTACACTTGAAGGATAGAGGTTTCCTGATACAGAAAATAGTGCTGAGGTTAATCTCACTCACATTTTTAGCGGAAAATTGCTTTTGGCCTCCCCAACAACCACCTCTTCCCACTTGCCAGGAACAGATTTTTATTTCCCCAGGGGTAACCAATGACTCTCAAACCTGGTGGCCTGGATGGAGTGGCACAAACAGAGCACATGACCCAGGCCTGCCCAATCAAAGGACCACTGATTACAGTCCTCAGTGATTGGCTGAGGGATAAGCACAAACCCTAAATTGGTCCAATCAGAGGGCCTCTTTTTGTGGCGTTATCAAGAACTATTCTCTTGCCCTACCTGTCAATCAGGATTCACTCAGAAAAGCTGCACCACCAGCAATGAGATATCACAGGGACTTATTACAGTGGCTTGATCAGACACTTTAGTGAGAGCTGGTTCGAGTCCTACCTTTTTTTGTTTCATCTCTGGCGCTAAGGCAAAAGTTGTAGGTCGGGCTGAGTGAAAGAAAAGGGGGACACGGCCTGGGGGAGAGCAGGGACAACTAGACTCTGCATTTGTCTCAGTCACTGGTGTCCCTGTTGGTCCCTCCCTGACCAAGCCTGCGGCCCCGTTGCTGTGGAGGGCCCTCAAGAGAAGTGGCACCCTCACCGCAGACCCACACACACACCTGGCCAGGATTTGGGGAAGGGAAAGGTGGGGGCTGAAGGGAGACTGCACCGCAGACCAGTAGCGGCCTCCCCCACTAACAAGCAGTCAGGGGCGGTGTCCGGGCCTGACCTATGTCTACCTTCCAAAAGTCCCAATGGCCACTGGGCAGCTTTGCGGAGCCCAAAGAAAATGGAAGAGGGGAAAAAAAACACACACACACACACGAGCAATTTGATCACACCTTCAAGGCCTGAATCCTGGAATGTCTGAAAGTATCCCTGGAGTTTTCAGTTGTGAGGGACAATAAATTCTTTGTGCTTAAGCCAATTTGAAATTGGTTTTCTGACACCAGCTCCTGAAGACTGCCAAAGGACAGTTCGACTCAGGGTTGGGAGATCGCTCTAGCTGAAGTTTCTCAGGACTCCTAAAGAGCAGCCTTAAGTTGCGTTAAATCAGTCCTGGGGAAAACAAAGCAACCGTTAATTTGTATCTTACTATTGATTAAATAAGAAGAAAGAATAAAATACATATTCCATTTTGAAGAAGACCAGCACAAGGAGGAGAAGACAATGTTCCCATTGTCCCTGAATAGTCTTCTGTCATTAGACCGCATCAGATTCTTTCCTGGGTCCTCCCTCACATTACCCTTACTTTTCACCAGGATGTGAGGGGACTCCGTGAGCACTGAGTACATATTTCCTGGGAGTCAAATCCCCCAGAATGGGTTTGTCTGCTGTGCCAAGGAGTATAGTAGTAATGGTAATTGTATTACCATTAAACCTTACATGTATAAGCTCAAGGTTACATCAAACTTGCCAATTCCAAATGCTTTTAGAAGACTGACCTAGGTAGAATCAGTTTAAGTAAAACCAGTAGCTTCATCATGACTAAGTTTTGATTTTCAACTTAGCCATATATATATATATGATTATAAATGATAATCATATATGATTATATATTATTTTATATATATGATTATATATATGATTATAAATGTCTCAGTTAAATCTGCTTCTTTGGAATAAAAGCACAGTCTCGCATATCTCTAAGAACAGAAAGAAAGAAGTCACAGATCCTCCTACTCACCCACCGAGGAATAACTAAAAGGAGAACTATAGCAGAAAATGAGACGTGACACATGAATGTCAAAGTGAGGTCATTCTGCTGATCGCCTCTTCTCAGAGTCACCATCCCTTTAAATGCAGAACTGCTCATGGAAGGGAGAACACCTGGCCATCCCTTCAACAAGTACCTGTAATCACTGCATAATTCTACAATGAAAGTAAGGCATGTAGATAGTTTAACTAATCATGTTGGCTATAAACATATTTTTTGGTGGGGAAACATTAATTCAACCAGACATTTAACAAGTGTCAAATCAATAAAAACAAGACTTTCGCCAAAGATGTTTTAGAGTGACAAGAGCATCATCGCCTATACTTGCAAAAGCTCAACACATTGCACAGGTGTCTCAAATTCCTAATCTATTTTCATTCAAACATCATTACATTTGGAATGAGGCAGATCTTAAGTATTTTAACTAGTTTTATAATCAAAATTACTACTTTTCAGGGTCTTACTTCATTTTGAAAAAGTTCCCTTTATATAAATAAATGTGATTTGGGTTTGTTTGTTTTTTTCTTTTACAGTTAAAAAATTATTTCTCTGATGAAATGACAGAATTTTATTTATCTAAAAGTTAGTTTTTGTAGTTTATCAGAGATTCTTCTATTTCCATAGGAATGAAGGAAATTAATGCAGTGCTTCTCAATTTGGGGTCCCTGGACCAGCAGCATCTGTGTCACCTGGGGACTTATCAGAAATGCAAATGCTCAGGCACCGCTCGAGACCCACTGAGTCAGAAATTCTGGGGTGGGTCCCAGCAGTCTGAGTTCCAACAAACTCTCCAGGTGATTATTTTATTCTTAAAAATGTCTTCGGATTAACTCAACCTAGTGTAATGGCAACATATGACTCCTGGATCATCACTCACTCAGCTATACAGCAACACATGGGGAGACACTTCATAGAGAAGAACAGGGAAGAGTTTCTATGTATAAGAAGAAAAAAGATCTATTTTAATTAGAAAAGCCTTCAGCAGCATAATTTTTCATTATTCTCTTTTTCTTTTGAATTGTTTCAAATATTCCTTAGGCGTTACAAAAATTACAGAAAGTATAAGTTACAGTAGCACAGTATGAAAACTCAAATTTTGAAATTTCTAGTTTATAGTATTGTATGATTTCCAGCATATTTTCTCTCTTGTATTTGCATATCACATGTTCAAAGCTGTTTATTAGCCACGATATTTCTTAGACCAACACCATCCATTAATGCAGTGCATTCTTCTTCCAAAAAACCAGTCATCCCCAAGTTCAAAACTTCCTATACTATTTTCTGCATTGCCGGACATGCGATGTGCTGCATCCATTACTGATACTCACTACTGCATGCACCTCCTTAACTGGCCTTCCTACTAAGACTTGAACAGGAGGAAGTAGAGGGTTGAGGCTTACACGGGAAAGCTGGCATGCTGCAAGCTGAACACTGAACCGAAATCCCATCCTAAGGCATCATTAGAGACAAAGCCTGAGGAAATGAGAGAACCCTCTATGCTTTTTCACTTCCAAAGTGCTTAAAGAAGTTTTAGATTAATCACTTTTGATGTTTTTAATGATGTCAGGGATGGGATTTAAGTGCCTTATTAATTCCCTTGATTTGCTGCCAAAAATGAAAGGCAATTCATGATTACTGAGTTAATCTTCTCTGATTGTGAAAATCCATTATGGAAAAAAAGTATAAAATTCAGAAAACTAGAAATGATTTATAAAATAGTAGGATATATAAGAAGAGAATGTTTGGTCATGGGTTTAAAATTTGCCTGAAATGATTTATTACAAGATTATAAAATATCTTTGTGTATATTAACATTTAAACCATTGCTTCATTCTTACATTGCAAAGATCACGTTTTGCATTTTTAAACTCTTTTTAAACTTCCCAGCCACAATCACAACACAGGATACAATGTAAATCTGAAGTGATTTGTTTAATCTTACTATCCTAATCAGCTAACGAGATCTCTGTCTGCTCAGGTCTCAGAGCCTGGGGAAACCCAGTTATTAATTCCTTACTATTCCTTCCCCATGTTCTCTGGTTTGCTGACATCTTAATAAGATTCCAAGAATGTTCTAAAGAAAGCAAAATACTACTAAAATACTGGTGCCCTGAACTTCAAGTCGTTTTTTATTTCTCTCCTCTAGAATTTATTTTGAAAATGAATTCCGTCCTTGAATGTGTGTCTATAACTCCTTGGGAAGGCTTTGTTCTCTTATCATCACATAGAAATATTGAAAGCCACAAAGATAGTTCTTAAACCCTAATTCAGGTTTCTTTTGCCATCATACCAAATACCCTAGGGTGGATGTATTAAAAGCTCTGAAATGATTCTGCTTTTTACTTTTCAGCCAAATGGGCATGTTTTATTCAGGATCCCAAAACAAAATCCTGACTTGGCTTGTGCTCAAAACCTTTGAAGGTGTGTCCTTCCTTCTTTCCCTGTTTCACCCTTTGCCCTGCCCAGCCCCTGCCTGCCTGTGCTCCCCTCCTGCCTGCCTGCGGGCTTCGGGCTTCGGTGCACTGAGGAGCTCCACCTCCCTCCATCCCCAGACTGGAAGCAAAGCCTGATCCTCTTTCAGGCTCATCACTTCTTTCCCAGGGAAAACTTACATGATCCCTCTGATTCAGGACGTGGCCCCATCTTACATCTCTTGGTATCCCAGCCTCTCCACTGTAGCTGTTATTACAGATGCCATTTACATTGAATTGTATAAGTGTTCGTTATTATCTGTATCCATCACTCAGCAATACTGAAGTCGGAGATGGTGCTGGTTTTATTTTCCCATCACTGACCTAAGCATCTACGTGCCTGCCACAAGTAGGAACACTCATTCCCTCTATCGATTGAATGACAATAAATGAATGATTGGCCAAAGCACAGGAATGCTGGCAGGTGGCCAGAGGACTGACATATGCATAAGCACAAACCATATCTTTGTGAACTCTCTGCCAGGAGATACTCTTTATCCTGGCCCAAATTCCTATTTTATCTTTGCCTTCCAAAACCATTATGAAACGCTCTGGTATACACCCACATTCGAGAGAGCATGTGCACACCCACATATATGGATATCAGTGTTTTTGCTGGTTAAGATGATGGTATTCAAGAGTGATAAGTCAAATTTATTTTTTTACATAAACCTTAGTACTAAAAATCCCTGAGAGTTGACAAACTATTATTCTACATTACAATCCTAAAGAAAGTCCCAGGGTTAGCTAGGCCCCGAGATGCAAGAGGAGGGCGGTGAAAACTCCAGTTCATATTTGTAGCAACAGATTTCCGATAAGTCACAAGTTCCATCTGGCTGTCTTTCAAGAGATGGTGGACAAGAGTAGTGAGTTTCAGTTAAGTTTTAATATGCATTTTTAAATTTTTTTTTACTATTTTACTATGCACTCTGGATTTTAAAAAAATAGAACCAGGTTTTGCAGAGAAAAAACCTACTTTACACTAGCTATTATAACCCTGAGCATCATCTCTGGTTCTTAGTTTCTTCACACGGAAAATGGGAATAATGGCCGCACACGCCCCACAGAGAGAAGAGAGGAGAGGCAGGAACCCTGCAGACTGGTGCTGGTTGGTCCACAAAGCTTGTGCTTGCTTCTCCTCCGTCCCTGCCTGCCTCCTGGTAAAACTTCATTATTCACGTTGCCAGCTTCTCGTTTATCTGGGTATCTGCATGATGTAATTATGCTAACGGCCCTTTGTTTTCACTTAAGTTAAAAGTAACTTTGAAAGGGAGAGAGGGTTTTTCTTTCCTTCCTCAACAACAAAGCGGCCTGATGTTTGCATCTGAAATAAAAACAAAAATACATGTTTGATTATAAAACCCACTCCTGGGTTTTGTGTTCTGCTGTGCTTTCACACGGAGAATATTTTTTTCAAACATAAATAAAAAATAAGTAATATGTTTCTGAGCACTTTCTCTTTTGCACGCACGCGCGCGCACACGTTTCCCTCGACCATTCTCTGCCTCCAAAAAAACATACCCTTCATTTCTATACTTCCTCAGAAGTGGAGAATGCAGTTGCTCTTAAAAGCTCTAAAGAATGCACTAGTATTAAAGCTCCGGTTAAGTCTCGCCATTGTTTGGTCACAGGGTTTTTCATTCTGTCTAACGCCGACTGGAGGTCTTGTAACACGTCTCGGCAGCTGTTTCCGCAGTGAGCTCCCCAAGTGTAGAGAAAATCGTAGGCCGGCTTCCACATCATCTATAAGGAAAAAAAATTAAACTGGAGTAGTGTGGAAGTAAAACAGAGAGAAAACCAGATGCTTAAAAAAAGGTTTAAAAGCCTCTTAAGACATAAAAAATAAGAAATACTAATTATACATGGACTTATTTAATATGATAGAAAACATTTTAATAACTCATTGAGAGACTTTTAATGTTAAAGTAATAATACTATTATTGTTATACGCATCTGTGTTGAGCTGTAAGATGCCACATATCATAATGGGATGTATAGTATGTTGAACACATTAGTCATTTTATTCAAGCAAGCCTAAAAACAAGGAAAAACATAGCTTCATAATCAAGTCATAGGGAAAGCAAAAATGTAGTCCTCTAACTAAAAAAGTAATTTAATGATACATTTTATGGCCAAAAGATCAATATTCAACCTTTCATTATGCTATCCCTAAGCACCCACCCATACCAATGGAGTCATTGTTTCCATAGAAATAAATGTACGTCAAAGAAAATTCTCATGTACAAGAGTGTATGTGATGGTAACCAAGGCAACCAGGCTGGGAGAGAATAGAGACAAAGGCCAACCAAATAAGACAAATTGAGTAATACACACACGCAGCTTAAAATGGATTTTCTCTAGGAAAACAACAAAAGGAACCATGAAGTTATCATTGGAATATTTTGGAATATAAACTTTATTACTTGCTACTTGGGCTCACTAAACTAATTCATTTGTAATTTTATCACTTGCAAAATGCAGGAACACAGACTGAGCTAAATGTTATGCAGAGTTGCCTTCTTAAAATAGGGCTTCCATTAACAGTCATATCAGATGAAGTAGGGCATTGGGATACAATTTTATAATTTTCACTCTCTTCTGATATCCCCAATATATGCTACAGTTTAAGTTAAAAGAATGAAAGACCTGAATAAAGAGTATCATTATGTTTCAATTCAATCTACATAAAAAGCTAGACATCAGGCTCAAAAGATAATTTGGTGTTATTTGTCCAAAATGGCCTTCCTTGAGGACTATGTATGCCTGTATCTTTTTGCCTCTCTGACAAAGTTTGACTCTGCAAGGGAGAGAAGGGAAGACAATTATCCAAATTATAGCGTATCAGTGTGGCCTTGATAGAACAACAGAAATCACCCTAAATTTTTGTATTCTCTGAGTTTCACCCTCACCAACCTACCACTCTGATAGAAAGTAAATGAGGTCTTTCATCTATTTTTCTATTTCTATTTCTGAGTAGTCATTGAAATCAAACCTCCTAAAAGTGCAGGTCACCACTAATAGCTCAGTAGTAGGAAAAGAATTGGACATATTAATAGAGCCTTTTCGCCAAACTCTACCTTACTTGTCCCTCCTCAGATACAAAGAAGCACTAAGAAAGTAGATTATTCTTTAGTTGATAACCCTCTATAAAAGCTTTGAGAACTGAATTCTATGTTGCATTCACTTAATTGTCCCTGACGCTCAACTAATGGGTATATTATTTTTCAATTTGCCATATATTGTTTAACAGAACGGTGTTTTCAGGCACAGGCACCTAAAAATTTAATCTAAGTCCTTTAGTGATCGAGCCTGATGAAAGATGTATTCGAGGATATTTTATGACAAACAGCTACTGAGAGCATTTCAGCACCAAGGTGATATAGCATAGTATCGCAGAAAACGAAAGTTTCTTAAGAATCACAAGCAGGTCTTTTTGGCTTGTTCACTATAGAGTCAAAGTCACTTCATAGACAGAGGCAGCGCAAACAGCCCCACTGACTTCTTGGGTAGAAAAGCTCTGCATCACATAGCTCGCTGCAGCACACGATCACTGTGTGTAGAAAAGCCTGGGGCATAATCATGAAGCAGCTCCTCAGTGCCGTCGGCAGTAGGAGATACACCAAGTGATGCAGGAGTTGGAAACTTCAAATTCAGAAGCTCAGTGATACATCCACGTAAGCAGACAGAGGGCAAGCTAACCCTCTCGCATTTGGCAATTGGTACTCAGAGCAGAACAGTGTGACCAGTTCTTGAATTCAGAGAAATCTGGATAGATTGCTGAGTCCTGGACCCCAGTTAAGACTTCTGAAAGTATAAAAAAGACTCCTCAGGAGACCTCAATTACTCTGAAATGCAATGAGGGATATAGCTCCAAACTCATTCCCTAGAGTCTAAGCCGTAAGCTGCCTAGAAGTGGATGCTATAGCAATAGGCTGAAAATACTAGGATAATGGTAACCATCATGATTTGTACTAAACTATGAGCATCTTTCATGTACTGTTTTTCTCCTGGATATTTCTTCAGTGCAAAATTTGATTTTCTGTATATCACAACATCGGTTGCTCACAACACAGATGACAGAAAAGCATGATTATAGAACAAATGTAATAGAAATATTTGAAAAATATCACTGTTCATTAAATAATTATTTCACTTATTAAACCAAGAGAGTACGTACAGCTATAAGAAACTTTGTCACATAAAGGGATAAAATTATCACTAGAGCATGGCTCTTATTTTTAGAAGTTTATAACATACGAGGGAGATATACTTGCACAAATGGCCCAGAGTATGAATATACAGGACTTGGTAATAATAACAACCAATAAATATGCAAAACTTACTTGCATATTTTAACTCAGTGTAAGTAAAAAGGATAGTTCTACTATCTAGAAGCACTACGGGATAATAGAAAGAAAGATGGGTTTTGGTATCATAGTACCAAAACCTGTCTTCACAACAGCATTCTCTTGCCTATTGAATGGGTCAATTTGGGTAAGTTAATCAAATAATCATAACTTTGGGTTTTTTTACCCTATAAAATATGGGTACTAACTTCCAAGTCTCATGTCCAAGGCACCTCGTGATGTGTTTGGCGTATAGTAGGAAATGAGTACTTTGGAGGCGAGATCAGAAGTCTGGTTTTAGCTCTATGAGTGTGAGGTAAGGGAGGGGCTGTCTGATATGAAATTGAATGGGGAGCATGCAAGGGTTTAGCATCACTTATAAGAAATAAAGTAATGATGAAAAGCATGTAAGTAGAAGAAAATGCCAAGGAAAAGAATGAAGAGATAAAAAATGTAACCCTCAACTAAGTCTGCAACTAGGGGCCACAGTAAGAAATAAAAGCAATAAAGACATGGAGGGACACTGGAGTCAGGGTGACAGAAAATGAAACGGGGTGCTTCATATTGCAAAAGCCAAGGCCCACTAGCATTCCAGAAAAGACCTGCAGGGGTTTGCTGCAGCCACTTCACCAGAGCTCCCCACAGTGTGTTGTTCACACGGCCTCCCAACTCCACGTTCAGTGACATCACTTTGGGGGATTTAAAGCATCCTTGTTGGGAGTATCTACACCATGGACTTTGGCAACAGCTACTATTGAAGAGCTGGTTGTTAAACACCTAGCAATACGCCACTCACAGAGGACATCCCATTTTTGTTACCTTCTCTACTTCCTCTAACATCAAGTAATGTGGAAACATGAAGGAAAGGTGAAAAAAGCAAGGATTCTGGTGATCGGTAGGCCTTTGGAAACCTTGGAGAAGACAGTTTAAAGAGAGTGGTGGAGGGCAATCTGCAGGAGTGAGCAGGTGTCAAGGAAATTCAAGCCATCTGTGGCTGTGACAAATGGGTCACATTTGGAATTTGAAAGTTAAAAGATTAAGAGACAAAGCTAGAAGGAGCAGCAGTGGAAAAGAAAAGTATTTTTAAAATAAAAATATGTAAAAAGTAATATTCTACAATGGAGAGTTTGTTTTGAATCCTAATTTCACTAGATGGAGAATTTAGGGTTATTGAGAAGTAAAGAGGTAGCATATATAAAATACTCAAGAAAAAGAGTTGGATTCCCCTAGGTAGAAAACATAAACCACAGGCAGGTATTAAAATTATTATGGAATAGGGCTATGTGGTTAGGGGGCAAGTATCAAGAAAAATTGAAAAGGAATGGAATCAAAAGTAAATGTTATAGTTTTGTACCTTGATATGATGAAGAAAAATACTAATTTTGGGCAACTATGTTTTCCTTTAGTAAGCAAACATCTGCCAGATACGATAAATATAACTTTTTCTTTATTGAGATTTGCTGTAACAACACCTGACAAAAGTCCAGTGTTCATCAGCACAATAAATAGTCTCATCAGTTGTCTGTTGTCCCTTGTGTACAGCTCTATGACGTCTGAACTCCAATCCTTCAATTTTACACTTTCACTTCTTTGGGCGTTTCTTATTATCTTATGTCATTCTAGTTTTCTTACTCAGCAAGTGAACATATATTATTAAAGGCAGAGACACCAGAGGCAACTTGTGTACATTAATTAACTACAGACTTTATAAAATTATGTTACAAACTACATACATTAAGCCACAAAGGATTCTAAACTGCATGGTAAATTAATAAGAAAATTAAGCCGTGTCCTCTGGAAACGTTTGAATAAAATGAGTAGAGTAAACAAGATCCTTTCCAAGATAACCTAAGTTAAGTGCTCCAAAAGCTGGAAATGAGTGGTGAACTGCCAAGATCTCTCCCAGGTTTATGTTGTATCTATTCAGTGGTTTTAAAATAGTTCTTCCACTGTTGCTCAATGTTATGATTTAAGAGTAAAATATGCAGAAACTCTGCCCTAATGCTTTGACAAATCAAAAGGAAAGCATGCTCCCAAGGGTTTGTTTTTGTTTAATTATCCCTAACCACAGAATAATTCTCTCAGCCTTCTCATCTCTATCACAAATGCTGGACACATAGGCATCATTCTTATCCCTCAACTCTTAGGTATGTTTTAATCGTAACTTCACGGTGTTACCAATTCATCTTTGAATGGGCAGCATGATGCTGATCAAAATGAGGAGCTGTTCATTTCTCTTCTATATGCTTTGATCTCTTTATAGAAAGGGTGGCAGCCTCAGTAAGCATTTAATCTATCAGAGTTGAGTGGTTTTCCAAAGTCCCAGCATTTGAGTGGAAGGAATATTTCTTATTTCAGTTTACTTTCTAGGTACCAGAGAACAAAACATAGGAGCAA